GGGGCCAATGGGGGGGAAAAGGGGACATTTGTAATACTTTCAACAATAAAAAATTACCTGTATATAAAGGGTGTCCCAAAATTCACGCAAGAAGTAATATTGACAGAAAACCTGTGACCTCCTGGTTCATGGGTCGATGCTCAACCACTGAGCCATGCCAGCCGGGCATGGTACCACCAGCTCAGCTTTGCTAAAAAAAAGAAAAGATAAAGGAAATAGTGACATTTCATCTGTTGTTTTCCCATCCTATAGCTGGGGGCGGGGTGGAAGGGGCGGTTGGCAACACCCTGTAGGCCATGATGCTGGGAACGGAGACACTGGACTTTAAATTCTATTCTTCAATCAATAGTCCACGTTTCACAATCAATTAGGCAGCAACTCGCCATGTAGACAGTGGGCGTTTTTCATTCCCCCGGGAATGTGTTCTTCTTGCTTGAATATTGGGGCATTAAGTGAAAAGAAGTGATTCTACCTCAAATTAAGGAAGGATATTTCTCAAACGGAATAAAGATGAATACCGGCACGTTCGGCCCTGAAGACGTTTGCATGGGTTTAAGTATATGATTATTCATTACCAAAAAAAAAGAAAAAATCATTTTCTCTCTCCTGTGTAAGTAGAGGTAAGCAGAAACGATGTCATAAAATTGCAGGGAGAGCGATACGTCTCCAACAAATTAAATTTTACGGAGCCTCAGACGGTAAAGTTACGTCGCAGATTCGGAGAGATGAGCGAGTTACATTTCACGGAACGCCCCGTGAAAACGAAGCCGCGTCGCTCTTAATAGACAAAGATGTGTTTATAACCCGCCGATTCCCGCTCCGTGTTCCGATCATAGCCGGCGATTAATCCGATAGCTCGGACCATTAGCTCTTCGATGGGTGACGTCGGCCTTATAAATCATATTCTCATGTTTTCCTTCTCCATTCACCACCTCTACATGTATTGTTGCCTGAGAACAAATGCTTTCACTGTGTGTCTTTCAGCTTCTCTGTGAAATGTTCTGCATGGTTTATAAAACCTGAAAAACGTTGCCCCGGCCGGTATGGCTCAGTGGATAGAGCGTCGGCCTGCGGACTGAAAGGTCCCAGGTTCTATTCCGGCCAAGGGCATGTGCCCGGGTTGTGGGCTTGATCCCCGTTAGGGGGCGTGCAGGAGGCAGCCCATCCATGATTCTCTCTCATTATTGATGTTTCTATCTCTCTGATGATGGGTAAGAATATAGAAAAAAGCAACAAAGAAAATATTAGGACAAGAACCTAATTACATAATCATCAAATCAGAAAAATAGTACTGCAAAGGTTTTTAGAAATGTCAGCTAGTCAATCTTCTCTGTCTTTAGGCAAACTTACTCATAGTTTTAAAAAAATCCCATACTTGTTTTAAAGGCTAGCAAATAAAAAAGATTTTCCAAGCTTATGTTCAGAGCTCAACAGACCCCTTCTGTCATCAGATCTTTCCAGATATCTAACCTAAATCCCATAAGCTTTAAGTCTATTTGTTCCAGTTAGAACACAGAAAAAAATAAATTGTTATAATGATCTATAGTAATAAACTTTAGTGCAATTCAAATAAATAATGAATAATAAGAAATATTTACAAAATAAAAATATTACTCCTTTATCTTAATTCATATATAATTTTTTGTTCAATCTAACTTTTGTTGTAAAAGTATATGAAACTCTATCATATTCTTAAAAAGATGATTTTAAAGACTGCAATACAGATTTTTGAGATGGTAGCATTATTGTAGAGAACAAATACTCATATTCCAGCATAGTGTGCAAGTCAAAATGATCTTCTTGAGAGAATTATAAATTGAGCCATTTGAGAGTCATTGTGCTGAACAGTTAGCTATTGAAGTCTTCTTTCCTTTCTCCCTCCTTCTATTCATTTCTTTCAGATACACTATCATTTAGCTTTAGTTCTGGATTGTTTTCTGAAACATTAAATCTTTAAGGGAAGAAAACAGAATTGGCTAGCATATTTATCATACTATTTATGATTGCATGGGACTGATAATTGTAATGTTGCTGGCATCATTTAAGTTTTATGGAGAGGGAGTTTAGATTCAATCCTAAAGACTGCAATACTTGGCAGAAATTTAGCACTTATTCATTTTTTATTTACTTGTTTATTTATATATTTATTTTTGTGAAGTTTTAAACAGTTTCATTTTATCTTTTGCATTTGGAAACTTAAAGTCACTGAAATATCATTGATTTTTAAAATATATATATTTTTCTTGATTTCAGAGAGGAAGGGAGAGAGAGAGAGAGAAACATCCATGATCAGAGAGAATCATGGATCGGCTGCCCCCTGCACGCCCCCTACTGGGATTTGAGCCCACAACCCCAGGCATGTGCCTTTCACTGGAATCGAACCCGGGACCCTTTAGTCCATAGGCCGGCGCTCTATCCACTGAGCCACACCAGCCAAGGAAGAGCAGTGTCATTTTCATCCACAAAACAACATATGTAAATAGGATGTGTTTCTCCAAGACGACTGGGTATTAGTGCATTTCACTCCTAACATTCTAATTCTTATCGTAGCCAAGGTAGTTAATAAAACAATTATTGATCCTGATGTGAGACAAAGAACTCTCAATTATGTCTCTTTTAGAATGGCATTTTTTTGTTTTTGTTGTTTTTATAAATATATTTTTATTGATTTCAGAGAGGAAGGGAGAGGGA